CTACTGTGTACACACTGAACCTTCGCATGTTTGAGTTCCATATAGAAACTACATGCTCACCAGTGACTGTGGGTTTTTGTGCACATTTGTGCTGTAAACCTTAGGAGGGTTAAAAGATGATCCTTGCAATTATTGCACTCTGGTAGCAGCGTATCCAGCTGGGGGGGCAAATTCAAAAGCGAATGCTACTTCGGGCTCAAGTTCAACATGATGTTGGAGAGAAAAAAAAACCAAAAACCTTACTCCCGGTACCGACTTATTTACTTTATTGATGGTGTTGCTTTCTTAGGGCTTTGGTGCTAATGTTTTAAAATAAATATAGTGATTACTATTTTAACCATGAAGTATTTTTCTTAAAAAAAATCTATCCCAATGGATACATTTCCTAATGGATATATACACCACAGCACTCTGGCTATAAAGACTCCACATGGGACTGTTAAAACCACAGCATGCACTTCAATAAGTTTCATTGCTTTGAATATCCTATTTCATATTACATTTTAAAAGCATTGACAATCTATACTAAGGACGTGCAAACCAGTATCACGCATCACATACAGCCAGCCCTAGTACCATATAAAATGCTAGACTTCAGAAGGGTCATGCAACCTTCAAAACTACCAGAAGAACTTTGATGAGTAATGTAAATTCAAATCACTGTTTAGTCCTATCATACAAAATTTGGACTCTGATAAAATTGTCTAATCATCCCCACAACGACTTCCAACCTCACATGCACATGCTCCTTGTCATTGTTTCGTGCACTAGGTCAGACACAATCAGCCAATACGATCCTTCTTTCCACAGGTTGAGGAAATCCCCACCAAGAGGAAAGTTAATTACCATACCCTGCACTGATATATCCTATTTATCACAGGTGACAATGGACTGCTTTTCAGGTTCCACATAATAAGTTCAAGGGCATACAGTACACCCATGGAATTACCATTCTCTCCAGATTTGCAATCCTGGCCGCCTCCAGCTGCCTAGCGCTACGGGCTTCCTGTTCAAGCTTATGCTGTCTCTCCTGCTTTATGCGCATCTGGATAAGTCACAAGAAAAGAACGAAATCAACACAAAATCTGATCTAAAATCCCATTCTGGCAATACAGCTAAATTGCCATAATAACTTTCAAGACATTCAGAGCAGGGCATATAAAGGAACAATGAACTGTGCATTGCAGTTGAATCCATACCAAGTCCTTTAGAGCCCCTGCAAATATAGTGCATCAAATTAGACCAAAAAATGTGGTAAACCAATCAAACTCACACAATTTATTTGTTCTACCATTATTAGCTTTTGATCAGCCATTCACCACGGTCACATGTGCAAATGCTCTCACAGTTCAAATGTCATGTTATCTGAATTGTTTTCAGACATTATCCAACCTCATCTACATTTAGTTGAACAGTACCAAAAGTCTATGCTTACAGAACACTGGTGCCTTGGGCTTATGGAGCACTTGTGCCTAGTGGTGCACTGGTGTTCTTAAATGGTCCCTGGAACAGAACCCTTACTTTATCCCTGCCCTTACCTCCTTATCTAGCTGCTTCTGCACCGTCTCCCGCTCTTTGTCAGAGGTGGCCAGGGCCTTGCGTAGCGCCATTAGCTGCTGTCTCAGGAGGATCACCTCCTCTTCTGCCGTCATTTTGATGGCTAGGTACTCCCGCTTGCATCGGTCTACCTCATGCTGCAGGGCATCTGACTGGTGATGGAGGTGAGAAAATGAAAATCAGTGGACATACGGTGAAACCTAGATTAAAAAATCAGTGATGCTGAGTCTTTAAAGGGGAAAAAAGCAACTGTCTACATTTGGCATGTTTTTGTTACATTTGGCATGTTTGGAGTTATACATTGTGCATGATTGGTAGTGTGCACAGGTGATACTAATGAATGAAGACCAATGAAACATCCAGCAGAAGGAGTACAACGATGACCACAGTGTAATTTTTGAGGTTTGGAATACATGTGCATCTTGCACTTTTAAGAAAAGGGAAAAACAAGAGAAAAATGGAGTTATCAAGCATCTTAACAGGAATTTATCCAAGCATTTTATAATGAAAGCTACTGCAGCACTGAAGCAAATAAAAACCAAGCTAAGACTAAAGGTACCCATTTTTGAGAGAAATCATTGAACTCATAACTCTGAACTTACTGTTCCCTTATAATGCTGTCTCATATTGGTCAGTCTCCAGTTGGTGAGCGCCTTCATTTTGAGGAGGAGTCTACTCAGGTTGTTGTTCTCGTGACGTAAAGTCTGCAGATCCACAGCGCGGCGCTCATTGAGTGTAATTCCTGACTCGTCTGAAATAATGACAGTAAATGACTAAACTGATTAGGCAATAAAGAAGAATCACTGATTAAAAGTTGACTGAGCTATGGCTAGGTTTCATGGTAACCACATGCCGCTCCCAGCAGAAGTTCATACCCATCAGATGTCTCCACTTGAAACTGTAAAGTGTACACAACCTATGTTAAGGGAGTCAAATACTTTGCTTTCAGTGCACCCTTGAAAAACAATGTGTGCACACATCTGCATGCCCCTTCAGAAAATTCACTCTGGCAGTCATCACTTTTATGGCGAAAATATTTGAATGTGACCCACCGTTAAACTGAAATCTATGATTTCAAGACACCCAATCTTCAGAGAAGATCTGGGGCTACACAATTGACAGTAACTTTAAGCCAAAACCATGCATTGGGAGTTGCGGCAGTGTTAACTTCCTGCTAATTGCCGAATACTACAAGACTTGACACATAGGGCTACCTTTCTGATTCAAGTCAGATATACTGTTTGGCAGTGAGTTTTCAATAGTCAAACCAATTTAAGATCCCATCTTGGTTCCTGTATTCTCAAGAATATGTACTTGTCATGAAGCAATTCTGAGTAAGGAACCACAAGTATGTAGGGGAAGGTCGTGGTCAATTAAGGCGGAAACTGGGCTCATGAGAAGGTCGTAAAAATGAAATCTAAGGGACTGGAAGTGGTCGGGGCTGACCACACTATATCCTGGACTGACCACACTGACCTTCTGGAGGTGCACAGATATTTTCTTAGAAATTAGATGGGAATAAGATGGGATATAAAGAGGAGGAGAGAGAGAGGAAGAGGGTCTTCGAGATTTTGACTTGCTTTGTATCACATCTGCTAGCACTATGGTAGAAATAAATAAGTATACATGTAGATTAGCAGAGAAGCGTGATAGTGTGAGTTTGTCTGAAGTACAACGGTTTCGTCATAAAGAAGATGAAACTACATTACAGTACTTTTCCTGGTACTCGTGCCAGTATTCATTCTTGTATTGCATGGAAACATTGCCAAACCTTCAGGTGTGTGGTCCTAGTAATGTCTTACAATCATTTGACACTTATTTTATGAAAATTTGGCTTACCATTCTCGCAAAAAGCTCCTTTATCCAAAACCAGTCAGGTAAACATCTTTAACACAAATACGCTTAATGCATGCATGAGGCAATTAATTATAAATAACTAAAACAAAATCCAGTCAGACTGAATTAAACTTTACAGATGTTCTAATATTCAATGCCTCTCTAAGAAAGTTTAAAAAAAATTGGGTATAGGACAGCCAAAATCTTTGGACAGGAGCAGCTTAAGAGTTCATAATGGTCTGCCATGGCCATGTGGTTGAATAAAGGCTGGTTCATACTTGGCATGAAAGCGTACATAAATACATGACAAATTTGAAAAAATTTGAACACATTTCAACTTGAGCAAAATTTTGCTGCAAATCTTTTGTGACTTCAATTCGATTCGCTTTCATATTCACCAGAAGTATGAACCAGCCTTAAGAATGTTTTGAAAAAATCTTTAAGACATTGCAAATGAACTGGTCAGACTTCACTGGAAATTGACCTTTTTCCGCTGTTCTTGGAGTAAATTTCTTCATGGCTTCCATTGCCTCCCGTCGGACCTCACCGACGATGCTAAAAGCCTCATCATACAGTCGTACTCTGTCAAGTCAACAAAAGCCCAGCATCAAAGATGTCAATCTACAGTGCTCAAAAATCGTATTCGCCTGCACCAAAGTACATTTAAATACAGCAATCAATGTTCTGTCAACGTGTGCATAACCCTGTTGCATATCTATGGGAGAGTATTATCACTGAGTTGTAATGGAAATTGCCCCAGCATGCAATCACCTACAAGTTGTTTTTCCATGACCTTGCATTGAGCACAGCTGTAAAAGTCAGGGTCCCATTTTTGTTACAAGTAACCAAGCTGCATCATAAGACTTGACACTTTATATGATGGAAGTACATACAAAATAAAGTAATGTTTTTCTGGTGACATCATGTAAGGGAACCTTCTCTTTGTGAATGTGTGGTTCTGAAAAGAACCATGTGTAACTCCGGTTCTTTTCAGAACCACAGATTCACAAAAGGGAAGCTTCCCATACATGGTGTCACTGAAAAAAAAAAATTAGTTTACTTTCTATGCTGTATTGTGCCTCCATAATGTTGAATTCAGTTCAAGGTTTATTTAACAACTACTGACTGCTGTGATGTGGGATATGATGTGTCAATACCAAGGATTCATACCGAAGGTGAGTCCGTCCCTTAGGGTATTAAAAATACTATCAGTCAGTAATTGTTTTGTTATACCTATGTTTTGAAATCTCTGCAATGTTTTACTCCAAACGATGAGGTTTTTGGTGTGTTGCTACACACAAAGTTGTAGTTGGACTGCATGAATCATTTTATGTTAATCACATGTGCCTTGCTAAAAATCACTACCTGAAGAAAATCTGCTTCATCAAGTTCAACAAACATCATGTATAGATGACATAAAATCACTGGGAAAGAAATCAGCCATTGACAAAAATTTGCAGCGCTCCAAGGGGTGAAAATGGAGGAGAATGAAACACCCACAAAATAATTCCCAGAGGGTCTATGCATTCATGTTAACATAGAGACAATCCTTACATATTTCCTGTACTATATGAACTGTTACACATAAAAACACTGCAATGGTAAACTCAGGATTTTTCAGATTTTAAAAGAGATTATTTGAAATAAAGTCAAGACCAACAGGTGACAGTAGTGTATGCCATTTCACTGCTCTCACTGAAGTTTATTGTTATCAACTGACAATAGGTGAAAGTATCACAGGTATTCGTGCATTTGAGGAGTCTGGTTAGCGATCCCTGCATTATAGTTTGGAATGTAGGGCAGGGACTAGTGGATGATGACAAATGTATGTGCAAAAGAGTGAGGGTAAAATGCATTTTATTGACTAGTAATGTAATCACTTGGGGCTAATGAAAAACAGTATTGAAGACAGAAGCATAAAAATCTCATTTCAATTACAACTCCAAACTGGAGCAACACATCAGGATAAATCTTAATGGCAGTTCGGCAAAACAAGATTTGCTCATGATCAACAGGCTTACCCAAACTCGTCAAACTTGACTTTGAGTCCAAAGGCGCCCTGGAAGAGGCTCTGCACCAGCGTGTCATACTCCTCTTGCATCTTCTCTCTCAGGTCCCTTTCCTGGGTCATGGACAGTTCTCGCATCTCAGCTACCTTGGCACGCAGGGCAGTGATTTCTGACACAAAGAAGAGCATACCATGTTCTTGCTTTTGTTTGATTTTGCGTAATATACATGGGAACTTGTTGGGTTAATAAATGAGGGAAGATTTCATTGTTCTCGCATCAAAGCATCCTTAGTGGCTCCCACAAGGACTGCAGCCGATGTATGATGCATTGCTTTCAATAGTGAAAGTGATCCAGTGCTTTGCCATGTGCCTATACCTCAGTCGCACCATTCACAACACAAGCTGCCGGTATTTCTGGCAAATAACTGAAGTTTCAAAATGTGTGCACCTAACCTTGCAGTCAAGAGTTGACATGCAGTTATCATGCAGTATATGCTCTACATGTACCTTCAAAATATGCACGCAGTATGATCCAAATTTACAAACTGTGAATAGCCAGTCAGCATCAATTTTGTATCCTACACAGCCAGGAGTTTGTTGTGCAGTCCATGGGGATGAGGCTGTGTGCCACTGTGTAGGAACGCTCCTTAAAATAATGCCTACGGAATTTAGGATAAGCAAACTACATATTCTTTGTTATGGTGTTGAATTTATATTCTCTGTGTACACGCGAGGATTGTGTGACCTATCAGATACCCACAAGGATTAATACACATGCTGCTTTTTTCTTCTGATTACAGACATGTTATGTCTGTGATTGATGACAGGATGCATGCTGGTAATGGCATTGAAATGTAAGCCCAGTGTCTCTCTCTTTCACCGGTGAGAGATCACATGCTCCATAGTTGTGGGACAACCACTTGTCATGTTATCATTTTTGTGGAGACTAAAAATGTTGTGGGGACAGCAGAATGTCCCCATAACCTGGTCCTAATACCTAACAAAAGACATTTGGCAAATTTGTTCCCATAACAAAAGGAGGGCCTACTTGCTTGTACACAGAACCCCCAGTATTACCCCCGGAGGTATAATTACAAAGCTAGACCAATGACCTACCCAGAATCAGCTCATGACTCCTATCAGCCAGCTGACACTGCACCTCTACAAGTGCTGATGCCGTGGCATCTTTGCACGCTTTCTTCAGCTGCTCAATCTCCTACAAAAAAGGCACACATTTGGGAGACTTGAGTCTCAAGTCTTCAACAAGTTTCAATATTGAACAAAGGAGAGGAACCAATTCAGTAGTTACATAATAGGAAGGGCAAAAAGCATTAATACACTTTAATACATCTTGAATATACTAATGTAGTTAATTTCCCTTCTGATCATATCAATATAACAATCATAAAATGACAACGTCAAGTACCCGCTCTCTCTGGTACAGCAGTTGATGGTGTTGCCTCAATAGGTTCTCATAGAACATGGAATAATTCTCATAGTTGGTCCTTTCCCTGGCCATGATGGTGGTGGCTAACATGGACAGTGCCACGTTCAGCTGGTCATCGGTAAGCAACAGCGCCTTCTCTTCGTCCCGCCGCTGGCCCACCTCCATCAGGTACCAGGCAAAGTCCTCGGCGATCTGGGGCTTGGCAAAAGTGAAGCGCTCATTGATGGCCTGGGTTGAAATGCAAGATACAAAGCAGTTGAGGTGTTTAGAGTAGAGTGCGGTTGGGTACGCAGAGGATTGATTGAAGCATTTCATAAAACTTACTGTTTCACATTTATGCAATGCAGTGAGTAGTATCGTTGGGTGGCAGGCTGAATGTTCCATTCCACAATGCGAAACCGAGTGGAATGGAACATTCAATCTGTCACCTCATCATGACATTATCCTTACTATTGTCCTCCGATATACATGTATTCGTTATTTGGACACTGTTTCATCACAAGTCTATCACAAAGACAAAGTCAAACAAACAATGAGCCATTTTTCTTGTGACTGATCTGTGAGGGACTCACCCCATCACTGCTGATTTACATTCACCTTAAAGTTAGTTTGGCAACTTTTGAAGTGTTTTAAAAATTTTGTGTACATCATTATTTCAAAAGGGTAGCAATGTGCACAGTCCCATTCCACCTTCCCACAGAACCAGCCAGAGGAACGCATCACAAGAATAAGAGATGATGGTTTATACTGTTGGGGTTCCAACTGATTGCCAGAAGGGGCCTGTCCCCTCCAACACCCCCTCTCCCTGTGATGGGCCTGACATTGCAGACAGCGTCATCTCATACCGGTTTCTTCCAAAGGTCAGTGGGTAGATTACCCTCTTCCCTTGACCTCTCAGCTAGCACCAGGGAGTGCTCCCGGGCCACCTTGCGCCTCAGCTCATAGATCATGTGGTTCTCCAGACTGTCCAAGAGTTTGACCAGCTGCTTGGCTCGGATCTCCATCTCTGAGGCACCCCTGGGAGCCACGATGGGCTCCGAGTCTGACACCATGCCCTCGTACAGCTCCGCCTGATCATATGACAAACATACGCTGCATGACACTGACTTAGACATTCAACATTTCTTGCAATGACAGATTTCTAAACAAAAAACATGACATGCTTTTCAAAACCAAAACAGGCACAGAGACTTTAAATGGATAAGCCTGTATTTTCTTCTGTTCTTGTCAAAGACAGCCCAGTTCTCACCGATAAGTGGAATATCTATATCTGATATCTAAATCTTATCTGTGAATGGCTACCTATTTTGTTTTAACAGAACAAGTCATAAATGCAGTTTCAAATAATGTACCAAATATACTTATTTGGTGTAAAGTGTGTACTGAACTAAATGCAATGTGGAGCTTGAACTACAACTCTCAAAACTTCCTGCAACCGCTCCAAAGTTTAAATTGAACTTTGGCAGCTCAAAGACAGAGCAGACATATGAAAGCTTGAATTCAGTACAAACTTGGAGCTCATATTTTCAATTAAAAACATCAAATTTGCTTTATTCTCATACTAGACTGTCTTCTCACTCTTTCATTAACTCATTTGGAGTCCTAATGAAAGAAAGAAATCAAGACAATCAAGAATATGGCTTGAATGGAGTACTCCAGAAATTATGGAGTGCATGAGATTTCAAATGATTTTCAAAGAAAATCTAATAGTTTCAATTATAAATCAAAATTCAATAAAACATTTATATGGAAAAAGCTAATATTTTTTCTTTTACCTCTCCATATCGCTTGGCTATGATTCTGATAACCGGGTACAGGATATCTGTCTTGTACAACTTGCTGTAATCAAAATGGAAGTAATATTAACTCAGTTTTGTCAAGGATATCTGTGGCAGTGTCTGATTAGGGTTTCTGAAAACAAACACCTTCCTTGTTCACTAACCAAAATTTCCTGTAAAGTGTTGGCGTGTTTATCTCCTCCTGCCCAAGTTTCCGTTGTCCCCACTCTGCTTTGAACACTTCAAGCCGTTTCCACAGTAACAGGAAGTCTTTCAGTAAGGAGTAAGCCTTGATGGGTTCAGTGGTGCGAGACAAGGACTTCTTCAAAATGACTATGGAATGACCAAAGGCAAAATGAGTTGTTATACATGTCGAAAGTGCTTAATTATATTCAAATAAAATACATTCTAAATCACAAATTCAGCTCTAAAATTTACGTCTTACAGGAGTGATAGAGGCGGGAATAAGGAATACATGTAGTTAGTTAAAATAAAATAATTATTGTCCCAAATTTCTCTTTTGTTTGAATTTGTTTTCACAATTTGAACAGGAAACCCCTTAAAATGAGCATCATCTTCCAGTACAAATGATACCATGGCAACAACCCTTTCATTTGTCAAGAAAAATACACAAATTTTTAAGTATTTTAAAAATGAGCACTTTTCTCAGAGAGAAACTAAACCATGTTCCATAGAACAATTTACATCAATAACCCTTTAATAACTGCTGGCAACATAACAGAGACCAAACTTATAGGGGACATTTAGAAACTTCTTTTCCAGGAACGGGCGCTCAATGGATTTGGTCTTAGCTCCTTTTTCCTTCTCAAAATTTTCAGAGAGGGGACAAAGGGGACACAGGTCACATGCTGCCCCCATTACCACTGAGTAGCCAACGCAGCAAGTTTGTGCTTATGTGTTGTTAAGACACGGTTGCCTCATACTCCATGAACTAAAAAAAAAAAGCTCAGACAGCATTCAAACTTAAACAAACAACCATATCATTTCTGCTTCAATGTCGGTGAATTAGAGGAAATTGACTCGATACATATCAGGGACAGATTAAGTTTCTGTATTGGAATCACTAATCTAAAGTCCCTTAATCTGCCCTAGATCCTTTGTGATAGAGCCTAGCATTTTATGTTGATTCTAAAGCTGGAGTAAGTTATCAAGCAGTAAGCTGTGGAGCTAGTTTGAAATCTTCACATATTCGAAAATTCTGAAATTTTCTTGTGTTTGTATGAATGTTGGTGTTTGCATTTCCATGCAGGAACACAAAGGAAAATGGAATGCAGCATGGTGTGGACTCCTCACCTTCTTGGCCTGACTCCTTGGCTGTAGAGCTGCCTGGCCGGGATGATGCAGACTTGGCGCTGGCCGCACTGCGCGGTCGGGACCGGGCAGGGCTCTTTTTGCCCTGTGCTGCGGTGCCAGTGGCCTTAAGGTTGTCATCTTCATCGTCGCTGTCATCCGGCACCATGCTGATGTCCTGCTGTCCACTCTGAAGGACATCCTCCATCAGTAGAGACACACCTAGGATCTCACCGTGTGCAACATGTCTGCAAACAGTGGTACACAAAAAAAGGGAAAAAAGTGTGCATTCTCAAAATGAGATTCATTGGTAATACTGCACAAAAGTAAGTCAAGATTGTAATTGCTCAACCAATACAAGGGAAATGGGACATTTCTTTAGTCTAAATTTCATGTCACACCGGAAAGTGTTTAACATCAGCCAGCTGGTGCTTTATTAACAATTTGAGACCCAGCCAAATGACAGGCTCTCGACTAACAGGAACTTACACATTAAAGAATGATGTTACTAAACCTCTCTTGTGACACTATTCTTTCATGTGTGACGCAAGTTCAATCAAGAGACTTTCAATTCTGGCAAAAAATACTTGACAAAATTTGGCAAAATAATTGATATTTCCTAAATGAGGTCACTCCTGTAGGCCTACCTCCAAAAGTTAAGAGAAAACACGACTAATGTCAAATGCAACAAGCCACATTAATAAACTGACCTGTCAACATCCCTCAGTGCTGACATGCTCAGCTGCATGTTGAGCTCAATCTGCTGCCACTGCCAGAAACGAAGTGGGAATGGTCCTCTCCTGCAAAGTTTGACAAAATAAACACATTCTGTCAAAATTATGCTCCAGGCACTTAGCGTTCAGTTATATTTAACCTAAAACATAAAAATAGTTAATTAATATTTTACTAAAACTGTCCATAACAAAAAAAAATCAAGAGATGCCAAAATTCATGCCTGTCGACCAACAGTTATACCCAAACCTTGTAAGCTGTTTTGACATATACAATCACACTTCATGGCACAAAGTTTAACAAATTAGACTCAACTCCTGAAAAAAAGCACTGCTGCGATATCAGGAAAACTGTTCAATCTGACCCCCATCCCCACGGTCTTTTATGGTTAATTTATCAGTACAGAGGGAACAATACATGAAAAAAAACTGTGCAAGATGTCAATAATCATGCATGCAGTGAGAGTTGTGGCCCACAGCAAAATGTGAGTGATAATGAGCTATTACAAAGTAAATCAACTAGAGACACTCACGCATAGCTGTATTACACATGCACTTTGCTAAAAAGCATTGATTAGGTGTCAAACAAATGTTTGCGCATGAACTCGCCCAAAGATGGCTCACAGGAAAGAATGAAGCCAGATCAGCAGTTATGATATTTCCTGTCCTTTACCTTCCTAGGTGAGCCCTCCAGGGAAACAGCTCTTGGGCCTTCCAGTCCCTGGGCTGCAAGGGTTCTGGCACCGGCAAGTAGGCTCCGAACACGCTGGACATCTGGACGTTGCTCAGCCCGGTCAGGGCAAAGTAGATGCTGTCTGAGCTGCTGTGGTAGGCCAGGTGGTTGCCCATGGAAAGGAAGGTCTCACGCAGGGAGTGCCTCATGGTGGCATCGTACTCCAGGAAGAGGACATCGCGGCGCAGGGACAGAAAGTCTGCCACCTGGAGACACATGACAGGAGAGGACCAAATGGACACTACACACAAACTTAACATCACTTAAGGGTAGACAGCTGATATATTGAATTTGACAAACCAATTTCCACAACAAAACTGATCATGGAAACTGGTTTGCCAATTTCCAAAAAAAGGGGACACCACAGTCACCTCCTGTCTCAAATAAACCATATTATATTTGTTTCCCCTGGCTCACGCATGATAAGGGAATGTTTCATAATTACAGAAGGTGGTATTTACTGCGGTACCACTGTATTTCTGTGGTACCAGCATTAAGCCCTTTCGGGTAACTAGTGCGGTGCCGCTAAAAAAAACAGCGGTACCGCAGTAAATACCGCCTTCAACAATTATGAAACGCTCCCTAAGGCATCACTGTGCACAGAAAAATGCTGATTGAGGCCTTGTTTGCACAAAGATTAAAAATACACATGACCAAACTGCTGCCAAGTATGTTTCCTTCCTCAACTTGCTTATTGCGCAGGGTTGTACACTGCAATGCCAGTGAGCTTTTGTGATGGAAACGAGACGTCTGATGGATTATTTTGTTTTATGTAAGCAACTATGCAGTAGCCTTTATCGAGCAGTGAAAATTTGTTTATTTTCTCTTTTTGTGTAAAAAAAATTCGTGATATTCTTGCAACCAGGGTTTTCAAAAAAATGTGAAACACATGAATATGAAGCCAGTGTTGAACTAAAGGCCATCCTGATGGTCATTTGCTTCCAAAAGTTTTTTAAAAACAGATTAATGAACTTAAAAATCTGTTTTCAAGATGTATTTTTTTTTTTTATATATAACGGGTTTGCCCTTACCCAACGTATATCAATAAACACTGCATGCTCAGTGCTTGTCCGAGAGCTTGC